GGGGTAAATAGATACATTAATTTTTAAAAATATAAAGAAATGAATGCATATACATGAGAGGATGAATGAATGAATGAATGAATGGATTATTTGAAAACATTGCAAATACTGTCTGTTCGTGCTGGAAGTGCCAGTTGTAGTAAAGACATCAAAAGGGTGGATGGTTGGAGGGCCCCCCTGGTAGGTCCTACTTCTTTACTTTCCCCTATGTTGTTTCTGTCTGTCTGACTTACTTTTCCCAGCCCTAAATGACCATTATTGTGTCGATGCGTTTCTCTTTACTTACACAAACAAGCAACAAAAGGTCGAGCATGTGCTGATTGTTGAAAAGGACACTGGTCCTAAGTCCACAAGTTGAGTTTTAGTTTATCTCGACAATGCCTGCATTTGGCCAATGAGACATCTCCGACCTTGTGTGTTTCCCAGGGCTGAGATCCAAGCTCTCTACCCGACCAAGTTTGTGCAGATGGAAGAGGGGAGATATCGGATCTTCAACACTCTCTACGAGCTGCCCCGTGAGTATATGCCTTAGTGTACACATTTCTACAAACTTATCCTATGTATACAGTATACAGTAGACTTTGGTTAACTCGAAATTCCTGCGGATGGTTGGTGGGTGCTCTATCGTCCTTATCCCTTCTCCTTTTTTAAGCTTGTTAAATTTCATTTTATCCGTCGAGGGGCGAAAGAGCTTTCTGTCTTTAGTAAGTTGGATGGCCTGGCTAGGTTGAATGTTATTCGTTTTCAGGGTTTCCTTCATGCTCTCGATATAGGTCTTCCTCTTGCCTTGTACACTGATTTTGTTTTTGTACGCTTTACTGAGAGTGCCTGTCACTCTTTTCTATGCATACCAACTTTCCTTAACACGAAATCTGCTTAATATTTTGAATTAATTCTATGTCCCGTGAAGTTTGTGTTATCAGAATATAATTGTACGAGTCTTGTGTGTCTTTCAGTGCCTAACACCTACCATGTCTTACACTAACTAAAGGCCCGTCTTAATTCACAAGGAGGGCTTCAGACTCACGCTCCAAAGGGTGGGGGTTGGAGGGCCCCACTAGTAGGTCCTTCTTTTTATTCTGTTCCCATTTTTGTTTTCGCCGGTCTGTCTTACTCTTTCGCTGCACTACATGACCCTTATTGTGTCGATATGTTGCCCCCCCCCCCTCCCTTACTGAAACGAATAGTGCCCCTATGACATTTTACCACTGCAAGGTCCTCGAAATTAAGATGCTCGAAAACATTGCTCTAAAAAAAAAGTAGAACAGAGATTTATCCATTCATTGTATTGGGTTAAAAGCCCTCTATAAACTCTGGAAGGTTGTTTAAGAGGTGAGACCTTCGACATAAGCATCCATCTTCCGACCCAAATGTGTGGAGAGCCTGGAAAACGTCTCAAATATACCCAGGTTCAGAACGCTCTGTAGGATCATCCACTCCGTTATCTAGCATGGTTCCAACAGAGCAAACAGTGCACCCTAAAAGCGAGAGTGGGGAAGGGGCGAGTAAATTTATTTTATAAACATTCTATACAGCTATTTCCTCAAAACGAGGGAGACTATGTAATATTGACATTTTTCAATATAGAGGCATCCCGTCTTACACACTCCATAAACTCATGGCTGCACTAATTGAGTGAAGACTTCTCATGGCTCATGCCTCACTCCGATTTGTTCTTTGAGAATTAAATTGCATGTTACGCCAAAAATCCTACAATGTATGGGAAGTGGCATAACACCCATATTATCACCGCAGACTAAGTTCGCAATGCTCACATTGTATAACTTTGTTCCTTCAGTGATCTACATCCTCGCCTGCCTGATTGACTACTTCAACAACAGCTCCGACTACGTTCAGTAAGTAGCTCTGACTAAAGATGTGAAACACTGAAAATGGGGCACTCATAACTTTCACAGACTATGGAAAAGCGTTTAGTGCAGAAACATAAACAATTTAGATACATTGGTGGAACAATACTTATGGCCAATGATATCATAAAGCATGGGAAGCATTTTTTTCAGAAGACAGAAGATGTGAAATAAAAGGTCACGAACCCAGAGAGAGAGGGGGAGAGAGAGAGAGAGAGAGAGAGAGAAGGGGTGGGGAGAGGAAGCGGTGGAAAGATAGAGGTGGAAGGAGGAATGGAGAGGAAGAGGAGGAAGCTGGCGATGCTTGTATCGTAAACTGTCTTTAAAAAAGAAAAATATAAATTAAAAAACCAACGAAGCATGGCTTGTCCTATGTAGGGACGTGGCCTCTGATTGACATTTCTATCGATAGTCCTGTATCGTACACCTTTTCACTATCTGGCTTTATTATGTTTCCGTGACAACTCATCAGGACTGCCAATGGCGTGGGCGTAAAGGTCGGTGACCTGACCATGACCTATGAGTCCATCTACAATGACGTCAACACGGCCATGGAGCACGTGCACCACCCGAAGGTAGGAAATAGTAGCCTGTGGGTTTTACGCTCGTCATGAAATAATTTAGGTTCCCAACTAGCGGGATCAACATCGTTCGGAGAACGGAAATGATAGATATTCTATTAAAATCGCCATTCGATGTAGACTCCTTACCGCCTTCGAACTTAGGTACCTATAGCTCAAAATTGAGCCTAATCTTTTTGTCTCATTATCATCCGGTGCCTTGCCGACTGGCGAGGGCGATCATGGACCTCCACTTCAATATGTCTTGCGTCACAGCGATGGTGTCTGTCGTTCTTGCTGTTCCCTGCCATGTTGTCAACGTGTCCAGTATCTTCTCCCTCTGTCTACCTCTGCCTCCCTTTCCATCAAACTTGCCTGTTGTTACAATATTCTCCACTACTGCATCTTTCCGCATTGGTGTCTGATGAACTTTGCCTTTCGTTTTCATATATTTGTCATAAGCTGTCGTCTGCAATTTGCTTCAACAAGGGCTTCTTCATTTGTTTTTCCAACTGTCCATGGGATACGCAGCATGCGTCTAATAAACCACAACTCTGTCGCCTGAATTGTACTTTCCAGCTGTTTATTGATTGTCCATGCTTCGCACCCGATTAATAGGATTGGCTCTATGTAACTTTTCAGTACTCTTTTTCTTGTTTCCAGTGTCAGATTGATGTTTGTAAGTACTCGTATCTGCTTCATTTTGTGGAAGGTTGCTTTTGCTTGGCACATGCAGCTTTTGATTTCGGTGTGACATCTCCCATCTGATGATATAATGGTCCCCAAATTGTAAATGTTGTACTTGCTTGAGGGCGGTACCATTTTGTCTATCAACCATAAATTGAGCAAAAGGCAGTTTCTAGCTACATGCTTAGGTTTCAATACATTCAGTAATTGTGTTGCTGTGTGTAGTTTGAATGAGTCGAACACTGGTTTATCAAGTGGTTTGACAACTGTAGGACTCCGCCTTCATTTTTGTCGGTGTTTTTTTATTACGTTCAATCCCTTATCGTCTGCGTTCTCTGATAAGAAAGATATATATATATATATATATATATATATATATATATATATATATATATATATATATATATATATATATATATATATATATATATATAGAGAGAGAGAGAGAGAGAGAGAGAGAGAGAGAGAGAGAGAGAGAGAGAGAATGAGAGAGAGAGAATTAGAGGTAATAGTTCAGTGAACGTAATTTCTTTTTGAGATGCGAAAATATCGAAAGTGTTTTTACAATTATATTAACATCCCCTATGATTCGGTTACCAGTGTCTGTGGTGTAGCGGTATACACTTTGCTGTTGTACGCAGTAAACCCGAGCTCGATACCTTAGTTAACATTTTTTATCGAGGATCTCAGTATTTCTGCTAGGATTTTGTATCCCTCTCGGCTTGGGTCGGCCTTTACAGACAAGGTCGGAAGCCTGCCTCCTAAATTATCTAAATTATGTCGATGGGGGTGGGGGGGGGGGGGCGTCAAAACTCCTAGGCCTACTAAAAAAAATCGTTGTAAGAGGTTTGGGTTTTTTAAAACATTATTTAGCCTACTCGTGTCCAGTAAGGTGTAAACACTCCCCAAAAGCGTAGAATGAAGGTCTTATGAAACTGTAGATGATCGGGGTAAAATTGGTACATTACTTCAGATTCGGATTCCTATACGCTAACCACCCACGGTTATTTTTCTTAATGTAATTGTCGTATTGATTATATTTTCTTTTAAAAGAGAAAAAAAACCTGCGAAAAGTTCGCTCACGAAAACTTTTGAAAGACATCAATTGTCTTTAGTGGGTGGCTTTTTTATTTGATTGTGTGTGTGTGTGTGTGTGTGTGTGTGTGTGTGTGTGTGTGTGTGTGTGTGTGTGTGTGTGTGTGTGTGTGTGTGTTTGTTTTCCAGCTGAGAGAAAGCTAGTATTTGGAAAAAAAGAATGGAACACAATATGTTGAGAGAAACAGTAATTCAACAATAAAATAACCCATTCCATGGTTAACCTTGCTGCTCCTGTTGTAAGCTCTAAACTAATTGAGCCATTGTTGGGTGTATAGAAATCATACTAATGTAATAACCCCACCCCCCCCCAACCCCTCTTTTTTTTCTTAAATTTTTTTTTTAAAGGAATTTTTCTGCTCTTGAACCTTTTCATGTCCAGCAATGTTTCAACACGATTCGCTCCATGGGACTTTGTGTGAGACCTGGAACGTTCCAAGTTCATCGTTGTTGTTTGGGGTGTGTGTGTGTGTGGGGGGGGGGGGATAATTTCCTCCCCACTGTCTTTAAAAGAACTTTTAAAAAGTACGTGAATTTTTTAATTGCTTATTGGCTCGTTCCTTCTACCCTTCTCCAACCGCTGTCAATAAATTGGCTGCTTTGTTTACCCGTGTTTACAGTGTGTTCAAATTCCTGGACGGTATTCTAACGCTTTGTTTGTAGATCTAAACAGGCAATCAAGCGAATGACACGCCATAGAAATTCCTTTCTGCTTCCTGTTCGCCTGGCTGTCGGGGCGTGGAATGTTGAAAGTGGTTCCGATCTAAGGGAGATCATCCAAAATTTTGTGCGATTTTTGTACGTGGGCAGAGTTATGTACAGTGGCGCTTTGCCATAATGCAACTCTGTGCCCCGTACTTCGTGCTGAAGAATTACTTGGGAAGCCAACTATAGACTTTCCTAATGTGGGTAGTTGGTGGCTGCTCTGGTGTGGTCTGCTGCCTGTTTCTTCTTTCCTTTCCCACATATTTCGTTCATATCTCTCTTCCTTCTTCTATTTGTATGGTTACTCTCTAGTAAAACCTCTTATCTTCGACATCTATAATATAATGCCCTAATTGTGATTGTGTAAAGGCAAGTGTTGTAAAACTCTTACTCCTACTTAAAAACTAAACTAGGGTCTTTTGTAATGAAAGATAAGCTAACTTTCAGGTTTTTTCCTCGTATACTTTGTTTTAGGGTCCACTGAAAACAGACACAATGAGCAATGTGGAGAAATATGTTGTGAAAGACGACCGCCTTCCTCTCATTCTGACTCGGTAAGTTGGTTTAATCTTTGGCGCTGTGGTTGTATACACAGTCAAAATGTTTTCGTTTGGCTTCGAAATTACAGAATGAAAATAACATACTTACACACACGCAGACACACACTCACATACATACGAGCACGCACACGTGTGCACACACACAGACACACACACACACACGTACATACACACACACACAAACAAACACACACACACACAAACACACACACAGACACACATTATATACATAATATGCACAACTCAAACACACTTATATATACACAACTCATATACACTCAGACATTCACATATCCATACATGTTTTACTCACAGTGAAATCATCCTCTGCTTCCTGTGTACATCCTGGCCCTTTAATAGGTTCTAATTGTTTGTTTTTGTTTCCCGAACTCTCATCCTCACATCTTTCTCTGAACCCATAATCATTCTTTTGTTAAACTTTCTATTTGTATCTTTACTTTCTGTGTTAATCTATTCTTCTACATGGGTGGTTGGAAGACACCTCTGGTAGGTACTATTTTACCTTCCCTCTCTTGTTTCGGTCTGTCTTACTTTTTACCAGCACTAATTAATTGACAGTTATATTGTGTCGATGGGCTTCTCTTTACTCAAACAAAAAACATCTTTCTCTACCCATATCTTTGTATATGTTTTTCCAGCTTTGTTTTGCTCTTTGTATTCAAATTCTTTATCACAGTTTTTGTTTGTTGCATCGCACTACTTTGGTAACTTTAATCTTGTAATCTTTATCATCGTACAGACTGCGGGACCATGACAAGAAGGTGTTTCTGGCCACCAACAGTGACTACAAGTACACAAATGTGAGGAGAAGAGAAATCAGCTAATAAATATATAACAAATGTCATCGGCAAGCAATTTAACTTCACTGTTCTAAGCCCATAAAGCAAAATTTTTCAGGAGAAAAATGAAAATCTTTTTATTCTTTTTAAAATTGTACCCAAATTTTGTATCATTTAAAAATGTTATCAACATCTAGAGTTAAAATAGACGAAATATTTCTGGAGTGTATCTATGACTGTGTTTAACAAGTGGTTAAAAAGGAATATGCTGGCTCTTCTTTTTAGGATTCCCTCACTTTGAAAAATGTTGAATATTTCTTTGTGACTGAGAGAAAGCAAAAGTAGGAAAGAGGGTTGATGATCATATTAGGTGAACCTGGAATGATTAGAGAGTTTAATTCTACTGTGTCCTCATGTATTTCATACTGTTTATAGCTTGTCCATACCCTGAGATATATTTTATATCTTTTGTTCACAGATTATCATGAATTATTTGTTTGATACTAAGGTGAGTGTCTCCAAGGCTAAAATTTTTCTAGATTCCATCATTCTGATACGTCAGTTTGGACTTATATGTCTTTTTGATAACAATTAAACAATCAAAACATATCAGATGCACCACTTTATCAGCGCGTGTCAGATAACAATGTTGTCTTGTAAACTCTTATTTTTTCTCACATTAACTCCAGTGTGGAGAAATTATTAGGCTTAATATCATTCTAACTTCACTTGTATGTGTTGATCGTACTTGTTTACTGAATTGAAGATTTGTATGACAAATGCAGTACTTAATGATAATAATCAGTTCTTGCCTGTTTTGTTAGTTAATTTTCTATTTCGAAATTATACTTGCACCGTAGTGTTTCTGCCATTGCTACAGGGAGAGCTAGGATGGACACTAACTGCTCTTAATGTTTTTGTTTGTTACTTTTGGGGGGGAGATATTGTTTTCACTATGTTTGTTATACCATGGGACAGCAGCACCTGCTGTTTTATCTTCTTTGTTTAATAATTGTGGTATGACATATCTCCACACATATTTTTTCACATCTGTAAAAATGATAACACTCCATACTTGCTTCTTTTCAAAAGTTTGATCATAATTGTTCATCTTGTTCATGAAGCAAGAATTGAATACAAATTAATACAGATTAATGAGAAGCTGTAATTTGTCATGCATAGATGAAAACTTTCAATGGTTAAGAATTATTTTTACTGTGAAATCTTAGCTACATTTTTTCTTTCTGACTGTACAACTAATATCTGTTGACACAAATTTAGTCTCAGTAAGACTCTTTTTTTCGTCTCTAGCAAGATTGTGCTTTATTTAGTTAGAGTTTCCATGTAATGTTGACCATATTTATGAACTTTCTGTTTTCCAGTCCAACCCTGAGAAGAAGCCATGGACAGACTTTTTTGACTTTATCGTGGTAGACTCGAAGAAACCATTGTTCTTCTCCCAGGGCACAGTCATCCGAGAAGTGAATAAGGTAAGTTGGCCTTCATTGGCTGAGTTTATAACAGTTTGATAGTTTGTCTTGAAAAAATGTTCAGGAAATCTCATTCTTTATTTGTGGAGAATTTACCTGAAAAAGAAACATAAAAGTTTGTAAAACATGTGTCTCTAGCTTTTGTTTAGTCCCTAAGCTACCATGGGCTTTTCTATACAGACTTTTTATAAGGTGCTGGAGATCCTGTTTACTGACTTTTTGGACAAGAATATTTGTGAGTGTTGTTGTTCCAGCCTTCAACATGTAGAGACTCCACTCCTGTACTCTTATCATCCAGTTTATATACAACATACTTCAGAAAGATATTAACATTTGTTGAGAGTAACTTCTTTAGAAAGTGGCTTCTAATACAACCCATGAACAAATGAACATCTTGTAGAAAGACACTGTTCATTCACATGTGTTTTTTACACGCCTAATTTTAAAGTAAAATCTACCCTAGCTTATTTCTCGACATCCATTTGCTCAGTCTGTGCATTGTGAGATCAACAGCATTTTTTTTTAAATTCCAGAGAATATTCATCCTTGTTGGGTTGACCATGTGCCTTAGTTAGAGGAGGTGCATTTTAGGTGCCTATTATAAGCTACCTCAAGTAGACCTGGCTACCGGTATTGGGTATTTTTACATACTGTCTCATAGAGACTCTGCAAAAGTCAACATTCTCATCTCTTCATGATAGTTTATGTACTTCATGTTTACTTTAGAACATTTGATGAGGGACAGACAAAGCTCATGGTTTCACCTGCGTATTGGATTTACATACATGCCAAAGAGGTTATAGTTAGTACTATATAGAGTTTGTGGCAGTGATGTCCCCCTCTTAAATGAATGGAGGCTGCTTGTGCCCACTCTGAGAAGCTGGACCTCAAGGGCAAAACATGTGCAGTCCAAGAGACAGGTGAGCAGTTTTCGAGACTCACGTGGAGGCGTCTCGGCGGTTTTAGGAGAGAATCTACAAGCCTGCTCTGAAATATGGGCTGGGTGGTGTTTAATATCTAGAGCTCGTGGGGAGCGGGATGGGGGCTCTGATTGTTCATGTAAATGGGGGCACGCCCATCCATGTTGATGAGGGTAAAAAGCTCCAATGTCTGACACGTGTGACACCACTGCTGCGAGCTCTAATATTACAGATGTATAACCTCTTTGATACATGTATATATCCCATCCACAGGTGACATAGAAACCAGCAGTAGGACTATGTCGAGCCCAAAGATGACCCGTCTGGTGCAAAAAGAAATTTGTTTTCTTTAATACTCAAAGCTGTTCGTGTTACTTTGTCTTGGAAGAAAATTAAATATTCTTTTTCAACAACAAAAAGACAATGCAATAAACTTTGTTCATCATTTGTTTGTGTATCACAGGACACTGGTGACCTTCGACTTGGAACCTTCACCGGAAAGGTCCGGCCCGGTGTGGTGTATTCTGGAGGTAAAAGCTCACCAAGCTTTCTCGTTGTAGTGGGAATCCTTGTTGTGTCAGAGTTATGGTCAAGCATAAGTCTAAAGGAGGAAGAGAGAGAGAAAGAGAGAGAGAGAGAGAGATTTGATTGTAAATGTTTTACATCCCCCATTGGCACAACATAGAATCATTCAGAAGATGGGCTGCTTCAACATTGCCTGTGAGGACCATGCTGGGTTGAGAGGGGGGATACGGCAGCCCAACAGAGACACAGAGATACTCAGCAAAATAGATTTCTTCCAAGGAAAAAAAATAAAAGCATTTCTCTATTACTGTTAAAAATCTTTTTTCAGCTGATGATGATCGCCATGTTAGGCGTGTCAGTGCAGTTTCGTATTTCATGGAAGGGCCTAAAAACTGACCACTGACCAGCACCCACACATTTTTATACAGAAAGTCATTTTCTAGATTCTCATAGTAAGTAAGTGTCAAGCATGTAATTGTAATACCGACTGTGTTATATTGGTACTGAAGTGTGGATATATTCTGTGGTTTCTGCAGGCTCCAGTGACATGATCAGTGAGATGATGGGCACTCAGAGGTCGGAAGTGCTCTATGTCGGTGATCACATCTTTGGAGACATCCTCAAGTCCAAGAAGAAGCAGGGCTGGCGTACCTTTCTCATCGTTCCTGAAATGGTCCAGGAACTGACAGTGTGGACGGCTGAGAGCAACCTGTTCTCAAGACTCTCTTTCTTTGACCACCAGATTGCAGAGATGTATAGGTATGGGGGTTTACTTGATGACTATCCTCAATTTTTGTCTCTAAGAATATCCTCATTGAACTGTTGTTCAGTGAACAGTTTTGACTTACACAGTCTCTTAATGCAGTTTTAGATTTCCGCTAATTTTTAACAGTTAATACATTCCACTAGACTTAAAGTTTACTTTTAGTACAGTCTCCTATTGGAAAGAGACTACTGTGATGTTGATGACACTTGCTCAAATTTTTCTTGGTTTCTTTTAACTCCATTGTTGTTTGGAGATTCTCACTAACTTTATTTGTCGAAGACTGGCATTAAGATGGAAGTTTTCATATCTCGTATAAATCTCCATTTCATTGGAAGCAGCTTGAAACTTAAATTTATGCTAAAATTGAATGCCTCTTCTACCATTTCTTTATACATAATCCCCTTCTTACCATTGCGTTTTGTCTGTGTATAATCTTTTTTTTTCAACGTCACTGACTCATCATGCTGAGGTACAGTAGGTAGCAAATATTATCTGCTTTTGCAAGATTATAAAGATTGAAGTTGGTCGGAATTATTTTTATTTCCCATCCTGGAACTTTGAATACTTCCTCATTACTAAGAGTCCTGATTGGGGCAAAGAGCTCAGTCTTTGAAGTAACATAAATTTTGTCTAGTATGGCTAGAATTCAATAAGAAGGGGAACTCTTTCAATATCCATGTACACCTACTTTATTCTTCTCTTCTTCAAAGCTTTTAATAAGTCTTCTATTTCATCTCTTGGTCTTCTTCTTTCTCTTCCTTTTTTCTCCTTCTTTTGCATCATTCGTAACAATATGTATGTTGTTCTTGTCTTTTTTGTGTGTCCCCCCCTCCCAACACACCCCTCACTGACTGCTACTCCATGACTTATTTCTAATCTACACTTCTATTCAGTTCACATTGTTTTTTACTTTTCCAGAAACCTTGACAGTAGCGACAACTCCAAACCAGACATCACTGAAATACACAAGAATATTAGAGTAAGAAATGGGCCCAACTTCAATTGAATAACTTTATCTTTCTATATGAAGTAACTTTGATATTATTAAGTCATGTTTTATAAATATTGCGTTGAAGGGGATGGTATAATGTGGCACTTGCAATGATGTTTAAACTTCATGTCATAATGTTCATTCTACTTGAACTCATGAACAGTTCTTATACAAATGGTTGTAAGAGGGTGCTTGTGAGAACATTTTGTTCTCCTTCTAATGTGTTTATATTATTTACTTTGTGTACAAGGGCATGGATGTGACTAATTATTTCTGGTTTGTTTTGACTCAGTACAGGGTGCAGGATGTTAACTGTTGAGTGGAATCGCTCTCATTATAGTATCATTAGTTCAAACAAAACTATTACAATAACAATGATGGCAAACTTCTTTAGCACCTTCCCCTGAAAGCACTTTTTAAAAAGTGATGGTTCTTTTTTACAATTTAAACACAAACATAATAATATATTTAACGTGAATGATTTTCTAAAAGAACTTTGAAAAAGTAGTGTATAATTTGCAAGTTACAATGATTTCTCTCTCTCACTTATTAATTATCACTGATATATTTCATTATAGTCTTGAAAGTTCACCCATTTATCCAATATGAATTTTATACCTTTTTTAGGAGGTCACTCACAAAATGGACCAAGCCTATGGCAAACTAGGAAGTGTTTTCCGCAGTGGTAAGTTTGCTTCCCCATTTACTTAATAGATTATTTTAAACTAGAATTGAGGAAGTCATGCATTGCTCAAACCAATATCTCGAACTGGACTTTTTGTTTGTTACAGTACTTCTTTTGTTTTATCTAAATATATTTAATTTTGAAGTCGAAGCAAAAAAATATGCTGAACTGTGAAGATCAATTCCTATATTCTGTGATTGTTATAGGTAAGTCAGTGTGTTGAGAGGGAGTCTGTCAGTCAGTCTACGTATTAGGCTCCTCTTCACTTTTAACAGAAAACAGTTGCCCCTTAGGACATACTCTTGATACATTTTAGCGTTTGATCTCATGATTCCTATCATGTAAGTCACTCCGCTTGACAGTAAACGATATTCAAGATATTTACCATTTTACTGATTATAAATAGATATTACCCCCCAAAAATGACTTCAGTCTGGTTTGTCTTATATGAGGCAAATGTTTAAATAGATGTGCTACCTCAGCTAACTTTTTGCCATAAATCATTTCCAACATACTTTTCCATATCAATAGAAAAACAATTTTCAAATTGTTACACCATCGTACACAGCCTTTCATCGTAATTTATAACTGCCAATTCTATAAAAGCTGTTAAAAAGTGTAACTTTTGTTTAAAACATTGGAAAAAGCATATCACACAAGCGCTTTCATGTTCGCCCAGTACACTAAATAAACAAGTTATGCATTGAAATGAATGAATAGTACAGTCTGCAAGATTATACTAAGACCTGTCTTGCATTGTTCAACAGGAAGTCGCCAGACGTTCTTTGCCTCTCAAGTGATGCGCTATGCAGACCTTTACGCTCCGTCATTTTCCAACATGCTGCATTACCCGCTCACTTACTGCTTCAGGGCACCCTCCATGCTGGTGAGTCATCTTGATCCCCCAGGACAGTTGGGGGGGGGAGTGAAGATTGCTGCATTTTGACTGCTTAATGTAAGACTCCACGTTAAGCCATTTTGAAAAGTGATGTATGACAGTTTTGCTCTGAGCAATGGATTTAGCTGTTTACATCAGTATTTGTATTACAATACAAGGGTCGAGGAATTTTTCACACAGTGTACTGCCTTAAGAATGTAATGATATATTGTATCACGTCCTAGTCAATACTTTGGCTTATCTCTCCCATAGGGACAAAAGGCCATCGATGTATCTTGTATACATGACCTGGTCCTCGATTGTCTAGATTATCTCCCTCCAGATGGACCTTGTCTTTCCCATGTTACACACTAGTTCTGTCTAGGGCAGCCTCTACTGTTTCCTCTGGGGTCAATGTACTCAAACTGTGCCCTTCCCCTCAGATGCCCCATGAGTCTACCGTGGACCATGACTCAACCATCACAGAGGAACAGCTGAGAGAGATCAGCCGGGTCTGGAGAAGCCATGTCAAAGAAGCTGACAAGGAAAAGCGGTCAGTGTTCAATTTAAGTGGAATTAAAATGTTGAAAGAGTTTGAGCTGTTTTTAGTACTTCTTTTCATGTTGCCTCCTTTTCACAAATTTCAAAGGCAGAGCAGTTGGTTTTGGTCTTTTGTTCAACTACAACATCCCTGGTTTTGAAGAAATACTAGTCGCTGTTGTTTCAGAATTTTTAATTTTAAAAAAAATCTGATCAAGAATGTAATTGTAGCCTGTAACAGTGCATTAGTTTTCCCTCTATGTTGAAACAAGGTATACCTTTGTCTTCAGCTTGTTAGATTTGTTCATTCATTTGCCTTCTACACCGAAAACTGATTGGTCAGTAACCTTTGAGCATTTTGTTACATAATTGCCTCTCAGCTCCACTAAAAAAAATGATCTTTTGTATTTTTTTTGTTACGGGTACTGACTTTAAAATTATCTGAAAAAGAATTTATGCATGGACTTGCATCTTAATATCCAAAACTGTGCTCTCTGACATTATTCCTGCTCACGAAGAAGCGCACCATTTGACTCTATTGGGAATAAATAAAGGGGCTAGCAGAGAAAGTTGCCTGATCACTGGACTGAGCAAAACAGGTGTTTAACCCTTCTTTTTCACTCCCATGGTGTGCACCAGCAAATCTAAATGTTTATAGAGAGCAAAGAGCAGCGACCATGACAGTGCCCCCGTCTAGGACATTGTAATTCGTCGATGGATTTACAGTTAGTTTTAAGTTTATTCTAGCATAAATACAAAGCTCAATGTTTCTACTTTCCTGACTGCTGATGTAAATGAAACTACCACGGGACATTAGATTGTCATCTTGAAGTATCTTCAGTCATTTTGGAGATTCTTTACAACTACAATTAATTGTTTTCTCTATTTGTTTCTAGAAACACATTGCAACGAAGTGACATGGAGATTCTTTAACCCTATCCATACATCGTGTTTTACTATCGTATCCATACGATGTGGGGAACTATGTGCCCCCACTTTCCAAAGAGGAAATTTAGTTTTTTGTCCAATCTGTACGCTATGCATAGCAGTCTGTCAAAATGGTTTTTTGAAAAATACTGAAAGTTTTAAAGAGATCTTCGCTCTAGAAGTATTGTAAAATGTGAAGAATACAACCCCAGGGGTACAAAATGACCCCAGGGCGTACGGATAGGGTTAAAGTGACAATTGTTTTTTATTTGTTTCTAGAAACACGTTGCAGCGAAGTGACAGTAACGTGCCCCGGCTGTTCTGCTCTTCGCCGCGGCAGCTGACAGAGGTCGCTGATGACTTTCTTGACGAGTCCGTCTCCGGCACCGACAGTGCCACAGAGTAGATGACAACAACTGCAGAGGGACTTCCGATGTTGTGTCTGGCATGCTCAGATACATAGCTTCTTTTTGGACTTTCAGAGGCTGGCTCAATGACTTTAGTGATGCATCTTCCTATTTAACTTGTGTGGGCTCTTTTTCTTTTCTAGGTGACGCCATTATGTCCAGAACTCTTACTTTTTAAAATCACAGACTTAAAATTTGCTGTGAAAAGGATATCCATATCATTTTGGGGTATTCCCAAATCTGCATGCTGCTTCCATATAAATGTTCACTATGTACAAGAGTAGGCAGTCAAGGTCTGTCTATGTATTGCACAAAGCTGCATGAAAGAATTTTGCAGTGTCATTATTTTTTTATTTCTGCTCTATGCCACCCATGTTCACTGAACCTGCAAAATATATTTTGTGGTTATTTATAAGAATTAGTAAAGACCTTTCTAGTAAGGAATTTGCACTAAAACTTTGCTCAAAACATAGTTAAAAGATTAAACTTTTCATTTGACTGTAGATAATATATTTCAGTCATAAAAGTGAAATATATCTAGTAAATGAATACTCTTCAATATCTTCAGCTTGTACACAGGCTGTTTTCACGAACAAATGAGATGAGATTTGCATATTGCATAAAGAGTATTTATATTTACTCGAGACATATAAAGTATGTATTTCATGATATGTGTGAAGACTTCTACTAACCACTGAGTTTTCTTAATATCTACATCAGAATTCTCACGTCTTTCAATCTTTCTCTGTTTTTAATTTCTCTATTGCATATACCTGTATACACTCAAAGACACACAAATCCTCATATACATGCTCACACATACAGGCATACACTCTCATTCTCACATGCAAGGTCAGGCTTTATAAACTTGCATGAAATGACAATAATCTCAGTCAATGTATACATACAACGTTACCATCTTTTAGAGATTTAACGAAAGGCACTGAGACCAATTCTTGAGTTCCACATAAAATTTATAGCATTGTTACCTTGCTGGTAAATACTCTTGGAAATCCACACCATGGCTTCTTATCCATTTTGTTTTTTAACCCCTTGACTGCTAACCGTACATGCATCCCATATGCTAAGGAAATTTCTATGGTGCGCAAGACATCACAGGTCACAATCTATAATCGAATAACGTTCGCTTGTCATTAAAGACAGATCAGTAAAATTTATACCAATAGGAAGATAAATGATGAGATGAATTCATCCACTAACTAGACTTGCACAGAACAAGCCATAACAATGTAAACAACTTGAAAGTACTAAGACTGAACAAGTGCTACGATTCTATGCATTGGCTCTGTCTTGCAAAGTGTGTGTAAAAAAGACAAAATACATCGCTTTGTTTTAATGGTAACAAGGCTCGTACTTATCGTTAAACTACATACCAACAGAAAGAGAAATGAAGAGATCGCTCTATCTATAGACAAGACTTGGGTAGACTAAGCCGTCATTATATATACAAGTGTAAAATAATTAAACAAGCATTCCAAGTCAATGTGTTAGATTTGACTGTCTCGCACGTTGTGTGTAAGAAAAATAAATTTGTTTTCTGAAATAAAACCTTCACTTTCTATCTAATAGTATATAGATATGACCTCATAGCTAAAATGAGAAGCTTTTAAGGGATGTCAATCTCTCTATTCAAAACTTAATAGAAGCTAAAATATCAACGAAACAAAACCTGAGTTTTAGCCGCTATACAGGATACGTTTACACAACACGGGGGAGCGGATTAACGTGACCTATGAGATGTATTTACAGCACAGTCAAGTTGAGCTTTAGGAACAACATTTTCTGACTATGAGATTGTGAAATTGCCTTTTTTTCACCTCATTGTCTTTGACTTCGGCATTTTTTAAAGTCTCCACAAATTTGTTCTCTTGCTCTCTAAGCTCTTTCCATTTTCTTTTTGCGTTGAATTTTTTTAAATGCTGTGCTGTCCTTTTTAAGTACTGTCTTGCACTGTTGCTGCTCTGCAAATGACCACTCCCCCGCCCTTGTCTTTGCCACCGTTGTAAAGTCTCATAAACTCTACCATGTTTACTTTGACTTTAAAAAAATATTTTTGTTTGTTTTGTTCTTATAATAGTTAAAGATCTCTTACTTTTGACTTTTTCAAAACTTTGTTAATGCATTTATCTTTGATTTAGTAGTGTTTGGTGAGGGGAAAGAAAGAGTGGTGAAAGTGTTGACATTCACTGACTTTCTTGGGAAAACTCTGAATTGGTGGTTTTTGTCTTTTCATTTGTTATTTTATTCTTCTGGATACTTTTACTTTCTAATACCAGAACTGCTATCTTGTTTGATCTAGTTGCATTTTGTTGCCTGTGTTCAAAATCAGAGCCGGTACACTTTAGACTCACCATACATGTTCATCCCTCTACACCATTAAGTCAGACAAAAAGAGAAATGCTACCTCAATATTGATATTAATAATAATAATACGTCTGTCAAAATTTTAATGATAGTTTTTGCTGCCAGGGTCAAAACCAAAACTGGAGGTCCACAGAATGCTAAATTTGAAGGGCTAATAGGCTTGTCACTGGGCACCTCCCTTCCCACAGTGCAGGTCCATAGGCAGAGCCCCCCACCCCCTTCCACCTCCCTTCACATACATTTTTGAACCACCTGAATTTGAAAGTAGTATTATTGGAAGTATTATGTGTCTTTATATGTATCACGACACGGTGGAATCAGGTACTCATCAGTTTTTGGGCATATGGAGTTATTAGTAGGCCTATCATCTTAAAGTTTACTCATATGTCTAGAATTTGGCGAAAAAATACCGGTCTATCTTGAGTAGAAGTTGGGATATTTGCGATGGAAGGAGGTGGGGGTCGCCTGGTGTCAGAGGTAAAATTAGCAAGAAAATGGCTGCCAAAGTTTGTTAACTTACAAAGCTTGAGTGTCTTTGGAAATTAGAAATTTGCATTTTTTGTGCCTTTGACCAACATTTTTCAGTAAAATCCACACAGAAATGTGTTTTTGAATGGACATAAAAGGTGTTTAGCCAATTTGTTAAAATTAGAACAAAATTGCCGTTTTCTTTGATTTCATTCTTTTGACAAGCGCCTGATTTCATCATGCTGCCTCACATTTTTGTTATTTATTATTATTATTTATTGTTATTATTATATTTATTATTATCATTATCATGATCATTATTATTAGTAGTACTATTATTATTATTATTATTGTTATTATCATTATTATTATTATTATTATTATTACTGTCAATTTATTATAATTTCTGACATGTCAACATTGACTCAGTAATTAATAATAGTTCAGTAGTTTTAAGGCAACGTTTTTGGGGATTTGTAAATTGAATAATCTAACCATGGTGATTAATGAAACACATGCAATCTCAAAGACTGTGAAGATTGTTTATCACAATTAGCCAATCTAAATAATCTCACTGTCACTGACTAACGGCTTGACTGAAAACAACTCAGCCTTGCGGCACATGCAGTCAGTTCAAAAAAAGAAAATAGATTTAAACAACAACAAAAAACTAACACTCGGCTACAATTCTTGTTCTAATAAAAAGTCCCCCAGCAGACTAATAAATTAAATACTAATGATGATATAGAAAACACCTCTTGAAATTCGTCACATATTATGCACACAAATCAAGATTTTTTAGTTTTTTTAAAATTCAGAGGCATATGCAAAAAGCCAGGACAATTCGCCTCTTAGTTTCTGTGTAATGAGGTTGACAAGTTGTCCATTTGGTGTTATCCAGACTATAGTATTCATATCCTCTATCATTTCTGTTATGTGCCAGTCATTTTGTTTTTATTTTTTCTCCTCACCATAATCAGCATTTCATTCTGATGGGGCCTTTCTGCTATTATTCTTTTAGAGATCTGATGTTGTCTGCTGGCTTTGTGTCTCTAATTACTCTCCAGTTATGCATTGTAATGTTTCTCTCTTAATTGCAAACTCAAAGTTGGTGATATATATATGTATGTAGCATTCCAAGGTAAGCAGCATTTAAGTTACATGTGAAGTAATTCAGTGCTTGAAAGATTTTTTTGTGAAATCTCAGATGTTATAGTTGAGAGAAATGAGACAGATTGGCAGAAACTTGATTAATGCTTTCCATACTTAATAGCTTTTTCAACTTTTATCCAATTGTAATACAAATAAGAAAATCTCCAGCTTTACTTTGCTTCTTACCCAGAGAAATCAATGTCTTATAATAGAAGTTATATTCTTCCCATTTTGCCATTATACCATCATTCCATGACATATGCTTGGGAACATTTTTCCAGCCTCTTTTGCCCTGACTTTTGTTTGTATCCATACTCCCAACAAACCAGGCCAGGTCTGGGATTCTCAGTCAGGATTAGATTGACCCCCAGAAGGTAGGCCTATTTATTGCCTATCCAGGGGATAAATTTGACGAGTCTGAATTTCATATGACTTTTCCCTTCGAATGTCATCTGTCTGAAATTTAAAAAATGATTTCCAATCCTCAATCCTTAGCATAGAAATGTTTTATTCTTAATTTCTAATACTAACTTCAACTTAAATGGAATATAAAAGAAACTTAAACTCTTACTGATCCTCAAAAGAAGCTGAAGATAGGTTTGCTTTTTGAAAATAAACCAAGAGATAATAGGTCGAAAAAGGTTGAGCCCCCACCCCCGCTAATCAAAGTATGGGTTGGGTTTTTTTGTTTGCCGAGCAGTGAAAGTGATAGTCTACATAATGTAATAGCACGAAGTCATTGACAAATTATTCCCGAAACGGTCACATATAACTGATATCATCACCAGAATGACAGTGAATTTTCAGTTTAATTTTAAATCACATTTCTTAATTTTTAAAATCAATATTTTATGCTATACAGATCAGACTTGAACTGTAAATGACTCTGTGCTTAAACACTTTATAGTGCCCGGATTAGTTAACCGTTTCACATTAATACAGTCCATGTCCTAGAGTGCCATAGTAAAATGTTGTCTGGTCAAAGGCTGTCTGTGGTCAGTTTATCTAAGGAATGAAAACTGAGCACATACAACATCAGAGTGACAATCATTTCTCTATAGCTGTAATTTCTCTGTGAAAGAGCTTTTAATGCTCCTTTTGATTTTTGTATCATCTTTAGTTTTACAGTAGTGATATCTCTAGTGGACCAGTTAGTCTTCCTATGTGCATTTTATATCATTTGACCAGAAAGTCGGATGTTTACAGTAGCATATTTTTTTATAGCTTGCATCATTGCAATAGATGCGCAAGAGAGGGTCCAAATTGTCTTCAGATTTGCAACTTTACATTTATAATGCAGAATATTCAAATTTTTATGTCGGTTTGAATTCATATCTCAGTTTTTTTCTTTGTTCAGAACTTCCCCCGATATGTTATCGTGAGACAATTATAATTATGATTGCAATGGATAGCCCACGGCAAATGTTTATTTGCCTCATAAATATTCATACCAAGCTGTGAATTCTTCGTATGCAATCAGAAATGATATATTTGGTTATTGCAAATGCCATCTTTTGACTATAGGAGAATGGATTCATATCTTTTTAGCTTTGTAGCTTTTATATAATTGTACATCTAGCCGTGTTTATGCTACTCAATTCTATACATTATTATATTTTACAAATACAAGTAATAAAAGCATATTTAATTTTTATAGCTTATTCTAGAGTTGTGTGACTTGTATCAATTGTGCTAGTACTGTTGTTTCACTTTCAATACCATCTATACAAGTATTCTCATGGATACCTAGCCATGTGGGCATGCAAGGAAACGAGCAGTTAGATGACCTGGAGAAGAAATCCTTATCCCTTCTGTTGGGATCAATGACGAACACTCTCCCACAGACTGACTTTAAAAATAAAGTCAAAAAGTACTCCTCCAGTCTGTGGGAGAGCCATTGGAAAAAACAAACTAATAACAAACTGCACAACATTAAACCCAAACTGGGACCGCGAAATCCTTCAGGCCTCTCTAGAAGAGAAGAAGTTGTTTTTACTCGATTACGCATCGGACACACGGCCCTAACACACAAATACCTTCTTCCAGGAGAAGAAAAGCCGTTCTGTGTCGGATGCATAATCATTTTGTCAGTATGCCTCATATTTCTTATTTCTAGTCCAAGCCGTGTTACATTTTACGCTTTCTTCCTGTAAAAAGAATTTGTGGCGTTAAAATTGTTAAAATGCCAAATATGAGGCAAATTTAATAGATGGCACCTCATTTGTGCACAGCGCTTGAAGATTGTGAATAAGCATGAATCCTTTATGTTCTGTCTTGCAACTCTGCTGTTTCCGAGCATTTCAAGTAGGCTACTAAGCAAGATTTTGTTTTGCCATGTCTCACAAACTGCTTGATGGTGGAATTTTCTTTAGAAAATTGAGTGCTTGGAGCTCAGGTAGAATTATGCACCCGTTCAATTCATTTTAGGTAGGCGGGTGGGGGGTGTATGTATGACTGGTAGGACCCTTGAAATAATGTTATCTCCCATTTTGAATAACCTCAACAGATCTCCTTTGTAAAGTGTGAGAGTGTGAGTGTCCGTTACTGTCTCATCAAGATGCTGTGGGAGACTGCATTCCCTTTGCAGCTCTGTCTCGTGTTTTTTTAATGCAGGTATTTTTAACGCCCCCTTCAACACAATATCGATTATTTATGAGGCAGGCTTCCAATCCCTTTTGTCAGGGCCAATCCTGGCTGAGAGGGATACAACACCCCAGCAGAAAGATCGAGATACTTGATTAAATTTTTCTCCCCACTCAGGAATCAAACTCAGGTCTCCCGTGTGCAACAGCGAAGCATCAAATCACTACACCACAGGCATCAGTGCTCCATCTCTGATGGACTTAAAGAGAATGTCAAGCAAAAAAAAATGAAGTTTAATGGCCACAGTCACGGATATATTCTGACAGATAGACTTCCTCTACCCAAACAGCTTGACTGTAAAGGTACAGAGGAGAGGTGTTCAAATTCTTCAAGAATCATGATGCTCACCCTTGAAGACAAGTTTTCTCATAATAGAGACAAATACATAACTAGGCTTCATAAGATGTGTTCCTCTCACATAGTGTCACAGTTGACTGACCTCCAGTCTGGTTGATTCTTAGAGAAGCAAAAGGTTTTATGTATAAAAGTAATGATAGAATCTCGATTTCAGAAAGCTTATTTCTCAAAACTCTGCAAGCCAGACATTATTGTTCGACCCTGTTAGTCCAGGGTTCCAAGATGTCAAACAGCCTGAACCAAACAAACATGTCTTCATTCTCGTCTCTTCTTTCAATTTTTTTGCAGAGAAATAGTGATTAACAGGAACATGTTCAGGCCCCTGTCTAGAGAGTGGAAGATTTTGTATACTTTGATGCCATTAGAGTTGGGACTTGACACAGGGTTTTCATCATTTAAAATTTACTCTTAGACCGCCCAGACTCAATGCTGAGGGAAAATTTGGTCTCTGAGCATGTGAAACAAAATTCAACCCAGAAATTATCTCACAATGTTAAAGGAGACAAGGCACACAGTACAATATGCAGTTTCTCTGATAAAACGAAAACTAAAACATTTGCTACGGATCATAATCATCATTTCATTTATTTCTTTAATACAAAAATGCCATTGCTGAAAAAGCATATATAATTCAAACATTTTGCATAGGGTGGTGAATTTGCACTTTACAGAACATAATAGATTTTGTTCATTATTAGACACCCGTTTAAAATGCTTATATAATATATAACATTGCTGACAGCACTTTATACGTTTTCATACAGTCTGACAATGGGATGGAATTATCAATAAAGTTAACTATCATGAGATTTGTGGCTTATAAAACAACTGTGATGAAGTCAACTTAGATTGATGCTTGCATATATGCTCATGCATATCAAAATATGAGAAGGCGCAATGGCCTATTTCGTCAATGCCTGATCAGATCACTATACAAATTTGCAAAATATCCTTTTCAGACTTAAATAAGTACATTACTGCTATCACAGAAAAGTAACATATGGGAAAATGTATACAGTTTATACACTTCGTTACATTGTTATTGGTGAACAAATAGATAGACCACAACGGCAAAGGAACATCAGCCGAAATCTTTCAAAATTCATCAAAGGATACGGCTTTGTATTTCGCCTCAAACTAGAAAGGAACTTGAACATAAAAATATGTACGGATGATAACAACAAAACAAAAAAAGGAATGCTTTTAAATTGTGTTATTTCTGTCTTATACATGGTCAAATCAGAATGGTGGGAGGCAGGGTTATGTACACACGAGCTACACTAAAAACTCTGATGAAAACAAGAACAAAACAACTGATCGTTTACAGGCTCCATGCAGTTTATCCACTCAGATAAAGAAGGACACTGCAGCCTATTAGGTTGTCTAGCGACAAGACTAGCGGTCAGAGCCAGTCTGAAGTACATGAACCCTGGGAAGGGCTGTACACATTACACTATGGTAGAGAGAGAGATCATTCTCAAGGGATGCGATGATCCCCAGACATTTGTGGGTGTCCGTCTGTAGGCACACACCGTCTGGGGCTGGACGGAATCTCTCGACACCAGGTAAACGAGTCAGATCTTAACTCCATAAGTGCCATGGTCTGCTCTTATCAGTAGACTTCTGGACACGGCGCTCTTCAGTCATGGCCGCCTTGAAGTTCGAGGGAGGCTATAGAGTGTGGAGAGATAGATTGTCTTCCTCTTTCTGTTAGCTGCTCTTATGTCCAGAAGATTTTTGTTTCTGCCAAAAGGAATAAAAAGTCTGTTAATATACAACACAAGGAGATTCATAGAACTCACAACTTCACATCAAGGGACATGATAAAAATGTAAACAAAGAGGATGAATGTGTTGGCAAGGGAGTCCACAGAAAGACTAGTCTTCTTGTTTGTTTTAGTAAGAGCTTTATGTCATTTGCAACGCAACAAGGCCATTTAAGTGCTTAAGTTTAGAGGTGTTACAAGGAAGAAATAAACACAAAAAAGGAGGAGGAGAGGAAAGGACAATAGATGTTTGATAAGAAATAAGGACCAAACCACACCAGAACACCTTCCTACCACCAACAGACAAGTCTTCAAGTACATGAATGTAATGGAGATAAGGATAGTGAAAAGACCTTAAACATAAGGGAGCAAACCACAATCTCCCATTTATAAACAAAATATGCTCCTCTAAAATGCCACCAAGGAAACGATTCTGAACTTCAATCCATCTGCTTGCTCTAGGATCATTTTGAAACTCCCAACATCTGCCCTTTCAAACATGCCCCAACAATTCAACGACCATTACCAAATTTATTCATCAAAAACTACAAGTTGTGTTATGTGTGATAGAATGAGATTGTGGGTTCAATTTTTTAATCTCAGCTCAGTCTGACATTGTGTCTTTGGGAAAGGCACTTTACACGAATTTCCCATTTGACCTGGTCCTTTCGAAGAAGGACGATAAACTCGGAGGTCCTGTCTCTTGAATAACCAAACAGTGTTGATAGAGGCGTTAAACCCATACCATTTCACCATTTTCACAGAACGTGAAGCCAGTGACTTACATCAGGAGCTCTATTCAGCTTGGAGATATCCTCTACAAAGCAAGCAGGGACAAGGCCTCGTTTGTCCTCAATCTGAAAGAAAAACACCAAAACTTTGTGCTGTGAATACAAGTCATTCCTTAGCTATGGACACTAAACTAAAGGGTAGTCAAACTAATGCAGTATTTTTTCTGTTTCCATCTCATCTCGCCTCTATGTTGAAACCTACAGAGACTGAAATTCTTTCAGCTATTATTAACTTTATAACTAGGTACTTAAAAAAGCAATAAAGCCATTCATTTAATGTTTACGAATTGAAAGAAATTAGTTTTCAAGTCAAGCACTCACGGAAAGGAGTATTTGAAAGAGAGAAAGAGTGCACAATGTGTGAGAAAAGCTTTACTTATGAGTGGGGACTTTCTCTTTAAAACAGAAATCCTCTGTTTGGGGAAATCTTATCAGAACTTGGACCACAGTTGTTATTTTTGGACAAAAGACACCGATATCATCTCTGTTATCCTTCTCAGCTTCTTCCTACAAAATTTTAATTTAACACGATCATAAAGAAAAGACACAGGTAATAACACAGATGAAACGTGGTAACACTGGTAGCATCCTTACCTCGCCATGATAGAACCCATCCTGTCTTGGCTCCCCGTACACATGCATGAGGTCACCAGCGTGGAAAGCCAGTTCTAGTGTAGTGTAGTCATGCGGGGACTGCTGCTCTGGGCTGTAGTCATAGAGAGCCATCACCTGAGGGCACAGTTATGGAATATTGTCAAGAAAAACTTACAGATAACATCAATCATGTTTTTCCTTAAATATAAGTAAAAAAGCAATGTAGATGTATTGAAGTAAAGAAGGTAACTGGTAGGACAGCATGAGAAACATCTACACCAGGTAAAAATTGCATGTGGACATTTCTTTCTAGTAAAAATGCTTACAAAAGAGACCTGTAACTTTTGTTCCTAAATTCCTTTTCATCCCATACATTATCAAGTTACTTAGGTCTTTACATCCTTGATCCTAGCCCCCTTAGGCCTACAGAACATTAGCTTCTATGGAAAAACTCCTAGCTTTAAACTACGACAAGCAGAAGTGTGCATTCGTTGAGCAGAAAGATAAAGTTTTTATGTGCTGAGGCATGCACTTGGTCTCCTAGAAACATATTCTAAAACATAATTTCCTGAGAGAGTTGACATAAAGGTACACACCATTCTCTTGTGACCTCGCTTGTACTGGATGCTGTTGAGGACGGAGGACAAGTCTGTGTCAAGATCTTCCGTCTCATCGTCCACTTGGCCTTGGTTCAGCTTGACCATTCCCTCAAAGACCAGCTCAGCACGCGGTGAAGCGTACCCGCCAGAACAGAGAGATTGGACAGCCAGACGATGCGGACGGTCGGGACTGAGACCTTCGATGACCACTTCACACTGGCGGGAACTGGACAATTGCTCATACTCCACATTGTCCAGATACACCTGAATCAAAGTGAACATTTAATATTAGTTTTAAAGGAGCGGTTGCATGACTGAATGTCTTTAAGAACATGCTCTGCTGTTTAGAAAGATACTAAACCAAAATTTTGATCAAACACAAAAGAATGAAGAAAAAACAAATTCAAAAGTTATAAAATTGTCTCCTTCGCAACCACTTTCAACATTTTCCTTTAAAAGAAAATTCCGCGTAGTATTTACCGGCACCTTTTTGCATGGTTTTTGTGGCACATTCATCTCTTTACCATTGCCACGTGGACGATATATCTCATCAAACAATCATGGTAACAGCAAAGTCAGCACGCGCTTGTCAAAACTCCAGTCGAGGAAAGGAAAGAATAAAAATCTCCCTCCCTCTCTCCTTCTCCCTCTTAGTATGCCTCTCTCTTTCTCTGTATATGTCTCGTTCTTTCTACCTGTCTCTGTGTTGCTCTCCTTCGTTCTATGTATAGTACTCATATATCTATAAAATGTCAGGTAGTGAAAAAATAATTACCATATATCCTAGTACTTTGACTCCGTTGCTGTTTCCCTGATTGTCCATAGCAGGGGGTAACCATGACAACAAGATGCTTTTCTCATTGACAATCCCCTTGATCTGAAGATGGTGAGGAGGGTCCGGCACCGGGACAGTCCTCTTATTTGGTGACAGGACAGCTGCATTCAGCTTGTTGCTTCTCATTGCTGAGAAATTACCTGGGGGTAAGAGTAATACATTTGGTACATGTAACATTCCTGGAATATTTTGTTGTGGCATAGCTATTTTACAAGAATTGCTACAGGTGAAAACAACACTTCTATTTTTTTCACTTGACTTACTAATTTCTGTAACACGATCCCTCTAAACACCGTAAGTTACATGACTCATAGTTAAAATTTTCCTCCTTTTAATCGATACCACCCCGAAAATACCCTTATTCCAATAGGGGAAAACCTTGCAACAATCATGGTATAGTCATGGGAAGAGAGACTTAAAATTCATAAAGGTACTTCACTGTTCACTTTTAACATTTTTGATGAGTTGGAAAAAGTCTTTCCCATTACAGTAGGAGAGAGATTTTAAACAGTATTCTTTTGAATAGACCAAACATGAAGAGATTTAAATGAAGTAGACATTTAGTTACATAAAAATAATATGACAAAACAGTAAAAGAATTGAAACAGAGCTATTCAACTGAACAATTGACCCTAAAGCAGTTTGATGGCTGAATCTGAAAGACCAAGCAAAGCAACAGACTCTCTGTTTGGATTATCCTACCTTGTGTATGCTGAGCTGTGACAGGGTCCGGCTGCTGGAGCCGCCGGTATAAATCCATCACCTGCTCCGGACTGTGGTCAAGCCGAGCTCCTCGGGGGCCGAGATGGTTGGCATGATGACCATTGAGGTGTAGTGGCTGGAGGTAATTAGCAGGCACAAGACCTGACCGCCCGTTGACCACAGCCTCATAATAGCCACACTGATCCATTAGACCTGCAAAGTAAAAAAAAAAAAGAAGCATGTTCAGCAACCAACACCTCGAAATTTTAAACGTATTCACAATTATGAATATGCCTGTGTCCATGTCTCTGAAAAGCTCAATTTTTCCATCTCCTTTCAAAGACATTTAAAAACTAGGTCTGCTTGCATGAAAGCCATAATATTCTTTAATGAAAAGGAGGAAAAAAACATCAGGAAAACTTTTTACACAAAGTTCAGTTCCATAATACAAATTCCTTTCATTTGTCATGACATATAAATAATCGAGTAAAACAATTTGCAAATGTTAACAAATTAGTTAGAAATCATTTTCTGAAACAATTTCGACTCATTGATTTACCTGATATTAAGACGTGATCTCCCTCTCTCAAAGCTAGTTCCAAACTGGGCCGTCCCGACTGTGAGAAAAGACCTGGATCGTAGTCAGCAATAGCCACATACTGCCCCCTGGTCACTGCCTCACCCGGGAGCTGCTGATGATCCCGAGCTCTGTGACCAGACGTCGCCCAGCGCGAGTGTGCATGGGTCCCGCGCTGTGCCCTCTGGCCCGAGCCCAGGGTCTCAGCAGATCGAGGGCGGTTGTTGACGTACGGGGTCGGCCGCTGTTTCTTGATGGAACTGCCTGAGGAGCCCCCTCCTATAGAGTCTGTGTCGCTGAAGGGATAGCTCAGGTCAAGGTCATCCATAGACGAAGATCGTGTGGGTCCTTGGTGCCTCTCTGATGTCTGTGGGAAACTAGGTCTGTTCTGTGAATGGTTCTGAAATACAGAGAAATGGTCAGATCAGTTTATTTGAATAAATAAAAGCATATTGACATTATAAGGGTCATTTAGTGCTTGGAAAAAGCAAGACCGATAGACAAAATAGTGGCACCTTCCAACCACTCACTCGTGTAATAAGCAGTGAGAAGTTCCGTAGAATTTAGAAACAATAAGAATAATAATGACAATTGGGACTGGCTTTAAAGAAAACAAAAATACAAAAAGAAAGGATCCCTTTTCTTTTTTAAGAAAAATTTGCTCTACAATGGCACATGCATAAACATTCAAACGTAGTCACTCACCACAGGACAGCACTGACTTTGAACTAGAAATATCATGTCAAGTTCAATGACACACCCCCTGAACAACATACAATAAAGATATTTTACTAACACTGCTGAGCACAAAATATATGAATTTATTTATGCATTTATATACTGTACATTAATCACTAAAATAACACCTTGAGTATAAGGGGAGAAATCTGTCTGCTGGCCATTGCTTCTTCTCCCTTATTTTCCAAAGTTACTCTCTACAGTATTAAAGGACATCAACAGTGATCAAACTGTCACAGTTTGTCAGTTTCCCATTTCCTTCAAAGAGACCTCACAAAACCAAGTGCCCTTTCATTTAAAACCATTGCCTTCCATTCCAGCTTTTAAATTAAAAAAAAATTTTTTTTAAAGTACATGGTTTTACACAATTTAGATCATTTAGGAGGTGGGTTTCTGACCCTGCCTGTAAGGGCCTCCGGGCTAAGAGGGATACGACATCCTTGCAGAAAGACTGAGATACTTAATAAAAATTTTCTCACTACTCAAGAATAGAACTCAGGTCTCCTACGTGCGACAGCAAAGCGTCTAACCACTACACCACAGAAGCCGGTGAATACTGCTCTATAAAGTTACCAAATGCAGCCCTACACTTACCTTGTTGGGTGACGTCCGTAGCCTAGTGGTTAGGCTACAGGACTTGTAATCATGAGATAGCGGGTTTGGGGGTTCGAATCTTAGCTCGGCCTGATGTTGTGTCCTTGGGAAAGGCACTTTACACAAATCTCGCACTTGACTCTGTCTTTTCGGAGATGGACGTTAAACTCGGAGGTCCCGCCGTCTCTTAAATAATCTAAATATGTTGATGGAGTTAAACCTCTACCGTTTTCCCATTTTTTACCTTGTTGTGTTCCTCCACACTCATGATCTGCTCCAGTCGTGTGAGGTCATCCAGTGCACTGGATGGGCGGTGAGAAACATGACGTAGTTCGGCTCCCAAACGACGGAGCAAAGCATCCTGCCAGAAACAAAATAAAAATGTGAAACAAACTTCAAAAATGTTCAAGCACACCATCTTCTGTCCAACACTACAAAAATAGCTAGGAAATATAATTAGAATTGAGTACGGTATATGTTTAACTTATCATGAAACAAGGTTCCTTTCCATTTGTATTTACATAAAATAAAGTACATTCAGTTTGAGGGGGAGAAGTGTCATTAACACCTGGAAATGAAAATGTTTTGATTTAGATGAGTAAACAGAGATGTGTTGGTGGTTGGCGGGTGCTCTGGTGTGGTTTGCTCCTTCTTTCCTATCAAACAACTATCGTCTTTATCTCCCCTCCTTCTTTTTTGGGTTTGTTACTCTCTTGTAACATCTCTAATCTTCGGCACTTATATGACCTTATTGTGTTGCAAGTGCTGTAAAACGCTTACTAAAACTTAAAAAACCCAGAGATGTGGCTTATCTACTACAACAGATAACCTACTTAAACTTTTTAAAATTGTAAAAGACAGGTATAAGTGGAAAGGCTAAAGCCAGTTTTTTTTGTGTGTGGCTTTTTACACCACTTAAGCATTCTTGATCTACAATAACAACATTTTAGATTGTATATTGCACTTCACATTTGAAATAAGCTAGAGAATACACATTTTTACACCAAATTCAATAAGGACAGTGTATGCTGATGCTATAATCAACACTTACAGTTGAGTAAAGTCTGAAATCAATAAAGATTAATTACTATGAACAAAGGCAAGCAGTGGAATGTATAAACTCCATAAAATACCAGCTCCTTTTTACCTTTTCCTGGCACTTGCGAGTTAGTCTGTCTACTTGGGTTTGTAGAGGTTGAATCATGGTGACAGCTTGATTCTTGAAGTTTTCCATTTCATCATACTGTGAAGAAGAAAATACACACAAAAGTTAGTACATCTATTCATAAGATACTCAGACATGGTGAGTTCTTCAGTATTAGTAACTTTCTGTCATATCTTCAATGTGCCTTGTGCAAGCTTGTCCTTAACTCAATTGGCATCTTCCTGGACTGGGCAACATGAGACCCTGGCTCGAACTATCGAAGGTGTATTTTTGAACAAGGGTTTTTTTTAAAATCTTCACAACTCTACATCCATGTGGAATGCCTCTACCTGAGATAAACATAGATTCAGAAGCTCTGCCTCTTACAGCTACTTTTGAATATTACAACAGCATCATAAAATAAAACTAAATCCTAGCATTCATATTTACACTTCTGTATTCCACCAAAAAACAATCAGAAAAAAAATACTGAGAAAAGAAATGGACAAACAAAAATTAATACAAATCAGCAGTTGGATTCCAGTTCAGGTCGGGGGGGGGGGGGGGGGGGGGGGGGGGAGGTATGAGAGGGGGACCAGCAGAGAAAAGATTTATAAAGTAGATGAAATTTCCATTACAACAAAATATTAGTCTTGCCATCACCCAAAAATTAGCATTGCCAAAACAAAACACATCTTTTAAAGAGAGTTCGTTTTGTAACAAGTCTACCTCATCAAAAACAAGGCAGACATCAATTCATAACTCATGTATTACAAGTAAAACCCATCAAATATACACGATTAAAACATATTTCATAACTGGGATTATTGTAGGAGGAGATGAAAACCAGTTCCGGCTCGAAGGGCTTGACATAACATCAAAAGTGATATCAAAATAGGAGCGAAAAAATTATATTTTGACACAGATCATTGTAAACATAATAAGAGTGAAGCAGTAATTAAATACATCATACAAACAGACCAAAACATGCAAGAACAGAAAATGAAATAGCTTCAGCTGAAAAACTTAAAGCAAATAAACATATCAATATTACTGAAATGGGGACGGGGGGGGGGGGGGAGAAGAGGGGGGTGCACCTCCGTTGTTACAAACACTGGTCACAGGTTGAAGGGAACATAATCCTAGGAAATTTTACAGTTTTATGCAACATTGCCGGTTAATATCTTTAGGACTGGAAGCCACTATGGAGAGTCTTAGGGGAAGACACAATAACCCTCGCTTAGAACTGAGGGATGAGCAGTGCCAATGTAAATGACCTGGGTGTTCTAAACTTCAATGTAGTTTATCCCGGGGGTTTTTTGTCTTTTAAAAAACAATTTTATGCTTTGGACAAATGTATTTACCATTGGAAAAAAATACATGAACCAAAGTAATCATTATCTTACTGCTACTGCTATATTTCAATGGAAGTAGCACCAATGACTTACTTTTTACAACAGAGCCCACACCATTATATTATTGGTACTGTATCAGTCGAATTATGACAAGCTGACTGAACAGACCAAGGATGATACATTTTGCTATCTTGAAATGTCCCTCTTCTTTGAATAGTCTTTGTTCGGACAAGTAATCACTGACAGAATTTTATCTATTTGGAACTAACTCAGTAAAGCAGGGAAGACAATTTCTAGGAAGCTTTGTAAACAATCGAAAATTATGGGGTTAAAAATCCTTCAAGCACAACAATGTGTTTGAAGCCTCTTGAGGTCAAGGAAAGAGGCACAGTTTTATCCACATTTTCAATGAGTTCAACATGGCAAGCTTTAACCATGAACCTCAACATGGGCTCATGACAACTGTAAAGTTTAAGACTTGAAGAGACAAAAAAATGGACAACAGGATATACCAAATGACTAAGCTGTTTGAGACTAAGATCCCTGCACTCAACAGAATATTGTTATTGTAAAATCTTCACATATCTAAACACAGAAACAATAGCAAAAGGGGAAAAAAAATCATAACATTTCAAATCAATCATGAAAAAAGAATATACAGTGAGCACCAAAACCCAATGAGTGACCATATTGTACATTTCAAGTTTTCAAAAAATGTTACAAACTGCGAAACAAATGTAAAGCACATCATATTTTTTCCAAAAACAAAAAGTGTTAGGGCACTGGGTGTAGAGGACTTGCCCGGGCAGACAAATTGTTGAAATCGTCGGAGAGGCTACGCAGATGTATGAGCTCAGCCTCACTTTGGTGCACACGGTCCCGCAGGTTCAGGTTTTCCTCGTACACTTCACGGGTCTTGTCCGTCTACGGGGAGGAGGTGGGAGCAACAAGTCAAAATAGCCACACACTTCTCTACAAGCATCTCTTTGCACCGAGTACAAAGAACTGAAAAACTTACATTTTGCAACATTTTGCTATAGTTTTTCTCCTTCTAAATCCTTTCCAGAATTACACTAAGTTAAAAAACAGAGGAAAAAAAGAGAAAAAAAAGGACAGAAAAACGATCCAGTTTCTATAAGTCAGCTTCCTGACTGTACTAAGATTTAGCAAAACAGAATTGAAGTGCAAGTATATGTACTTCACAATGACATGAGATCCCCTTTTCATTGGACTCCCAGGAAGAGAATGCAATTATGAAAAGTTCGTCAATAAATCATAACTTACTAATCTGCAAAAACATTCGCACCCAAACATTGTCCAAGTCATCTAAACTCACCAATATCTAACAAAACAAGTGACCAGCTCATATATCATGACTAATTATTGTAGATGATTTCTAACTAAATCTTTTTACAATAACATGGACACTATTAGAGGTGAAGAGTGAGTATTGTTAGAGGTGAAGAAAAACATACTTGTACATTAATGACCACAGAAATCCCAGTTAAAATATATAACAGACTGGTATAATAGGGGGATAATATAAAGAAAAAGGAGCCACTTACTTTTCACCACTAATTTTTTTTTCAAAAGAAAATGACATAAGTAATTCTGACAGCTCCCCCCTCCCCCCTCAAATTCCCCTCTTCCAAAAGAAATATAAAGTCCTATTATTTAAGAATCCTCATTTCCAGAAACATAACACATCTGGTTTGAAATAAACACTGTAAATGGATACAACTTTGAATAACATTGTGATCAATACAGAAAAAAATAGTGAGAGACAAAATGTTAGTATACATTGTGATACATTCTCGTTCAGTGTGAGAGCCATGAAATGAACATCAATTTGGCTGAGAAGTTTAAATAGCCGCATTTATAAAACAGTGGATAAAAATAAAATATAAGACATTTGGTGAAACACGGTAGTGAGGCAAATCATAATTAAGCAGAATGCTACAGTTCCTTCCAGCAAGAGATGATTTACACATAAAAAAACATATTCTTTAAAAATCATCTGAAAAAAAATTGAAATTCTGAAATGAAAACCTTTGCAAAATAAACTCTTAAGCTCTGCACTTACTATACAAACAATCACCTGAACATGAAAAAAACTCAAACCAAAAGAAAAAAAATAGACAGTTAGCCTATCCAACATAAACTGAAAACAAGGAATACACTGAATAGTTTCAATTTTTAAAAAAGCAGCACTCATAGAATTTGTGACAGTGTGCTGGTACAGAACATGTTAAATCCTAATGAGGCCTGAATATCATTGAGCTGAAAAAGAGAATTAAAGTAATCTGTTCAGTAACTAACAATGATTGAGCTACATTGTTTCCAATTTTTTCACATGATATTTTTTTCCAGAGGGAACACTTCGCTGGTTTGTCACTGCACATAAACTCTTTCTACGTACTGGAGCATGTACGCATGTAAAAAAATTTTTAATGGATTTCTAAGCTTTCTGTAGTATACATAACAACTACCTATTGCAGTTACTAGAACTTATCTTAACCCTATCCGTACGTCATGTTTTACTATCGTATCCATACGACATGGGGAGCTCTGGGCCACCATTTTCCAAAAAGGAAGTTTACTCGTTAATCCGATCTGTATGCTATGCATAGTAGTCTGTCAATATGATTTTTTGAGAAATACTGTGCATTTCAAAGAGATCTTCAAACTAGAAGTATTCTAAAATGTGAAGAATACAACCCCGGGGGTACAAAATGACCCCAGGGCGTATGGATAGGGTTAAACGTGCATCTTGGTTCGAAAGGGTTGACTTTTCATTGTATAAATTAGTTGTTCTTCAATATTCACAACGATGCATGTAAATTTTAATGAGAAACTACTTACTATCAAAGAAAAAGCAAACCATATTCTCCATCACAAAAAAATAATTAATTTAAGAAAGTTTTTTTTAAATAAAAAAAACAACAACATAATTTACCATTCAATATGTGTTAAATGTTTAGGCACATAAAAATATCAATAACAAAGAAAATGAATGTTTAATACAGCACAGTAGTAGGGATTTATGATGAAAGAAAAGTATATTCCTTTCCCAAATTACCGCAACCTTGAATGAAGTTACAAATGTGGCAACAAAATCTACAAATAAGAAGAGATAAAACAATAATGTGAAAGCCAGTACATCAACAATACTAAGTAGAAAGTATCAACACCTCTCCTGCGCACAGAATATCTAAACAAGGTCATTCGGCTATATGGTGTCTTGCTGCTGATGAATATATATATATACCCTTCCTACCCACCCCTAAAGGCAGTTGATCATGTGTATAAAAACACAAATCAAGCCTTAAACTGAGCATCAATTGGAACATGGCCTTCTGTCACTTTTGTAAAACAGAAAACTTCACTGAACCTTGACAGCAGGAGTCAGTAGGCTCTTCACTGTTACACACAGTAAGATACGAGTCTGAGTCTCTCTTGGGGAAGGTTTTGTTGAGCACAGCATGTTGTATCTTACTCAGCCAGTGTTGGCCCTAATTGTCAATGTCAAAATAGCCCGTCCGTGATTAATAGTAGATTGTGTCCATGGGGCTTTTCATAAATTACAATTATCATTGTTAGCCTAGGCGCAAGGGAAGTGTCAACAATAATGAGTGACACAAACGAGGCATGGACAAAGTCATTACATGCAGACTGTCTGTCACAGAAAGGCACCATGGAAGACTAAAAGTACATTTGAACTGTTTGTTCTTGATCTTAAAGAAAAATTGTTTTGCATTTCAAACTTTCTCAAGATGTAAATTGTCTTTTGCAGATGAGAATAAATTTATATTCTCTTAAAACTATTTCAAATAGCTAACGGATTTTTAAGACTTCGGGGAAAAAATGTTGGGTTATCTTTAATTAACAAAAATATACATTTATATATAAAACAAGAACTGCCAGAAAGTTTCTGTTCTCATCAGAAAGCTGAAGATAGCTAGAAGCTAAAAACTATTTGTTGCATTCCACTCACTTTATAGAACTATACTTCACTGATCATTCAGCAAATTTATCCATTTCCCACAGTACAATTTTGACAAAATAAACCTGAACCAAAGCAAACAATCTGCATGTTGTAAATACATTTCTTGAAATAAAAAAGTAAGCATTCCCTTTCCATTTATGTGACAAGCATAAGAAAAGTCTGCTGTGCTCTGAATTACCCGGTTTATCAGCAAAGAATTTAGAGACCCTAACTGCTCCTCCAAAGCTGAATTCTTGGCATCCACACGGAACAAATCTTCTAGTTTCGTTCTTGTCTCCTCAAGGTGGCCCCTCAGGGTTTCTATTTCCTGCTCAGCGCGTCGCAGTTCGACCTTCAGCTGGTCACGCTCAGCTATAGTCTTCTGCAGGGTCAAGTCCAGCTCACTTTTCTGTGAGATGACCTCACTGAGGTCCTGACCTCTGTCCTCGTGCTGCGTGAAATGTGTGGGTTGAGCTTGCAGATTTTAGCATTTTGCCAACATTGCATACCAGATCTCACATGTTCATAAATGAAAAATGCCTTTCAACTTTTAAATTCATGTGTTAGAAATCTAAATATTTTCAAAGCATTCTGTCACTAAAAAACATCACAACAGGAAAAGCAAAAACCAATCACAATTGTACATACATGTTATGAAAAATCAACTCGTAACTGACACTGAATGAAAGGAAGAGACAAAAGAGGGAGTTGAGAACAACAGTGTCATTTGTCATTCGTTCAGGGAAAGGTAACTGATGAATATAGAGTGCCACAAAAGTGGTGACAAGTTAATGTCACAGAGACATTAAATGCTATACTTAGCTGTGCAGACACAGTATTTACCTTTATCTTTACTTTCGGGATTTTTTTCTTTTTAGGAAAAGGAACCAGTTACTGACAGGAAAGCAGGGAAAAATAATGGCTTTGCTTCTTTAAAAAAAACTTTAAAAACCTTGCCTACACTTAGATGTCCATACTAAAAATTAAAAAAATCATTTTAAAAAAGTACACACTAGTTGAAAACTATCAGAATTTCACCAACTGACCTTTGTTTTAAGCTCCTGTAGCTGAGATCTGGTCTCCTTCAGCTGTTTTTCACTGTCCTGTAGAGAGACCAGCTCTTTCTCCAAGCCACGGAGTGAGTCCAGTGCGTTGCGGCGCATACCCTCGATGTTGTCACACTCCGCACGACAGCGCTTTAGCTCCAGACTAACCACTTCTACTTCTGTTTTCTGAAGAAAAAACAACCAAAGTAATTCTGTTAGATTTTTTCTTATTAGTTCAGTTTTAACAATCAACTACGCTTAAAGCAACATTCATATTTTTTATTGTTCATAGGTATAGGACTAAAAGGCAAACGCCTGAAAACTAGTAGATTGATAAAAACAACTGAAATATGCAGATTTTTCTAACAATCTTGAAATATCCCCAACTATAGCGAACAGAGGTGACTGTAGCAACATAAAAAAAGGATATGGTATTGAGAGATTTGAATAAAAAATAAATGCCCCACCACTGAAGAGAGGAGGAGGAGGAGGAGGAGGAGGAGGAGATGAAGACAAACTTTAACTTTTCTATAGGAGCATAGAAATTGACAAGACTGACAAATAACCCACATCATCCATCAAAGGAATATGTAAAATTGATACAGTATCAGAAAAAACATCCCCAACAATGTTAGCAAGCAATATGCCTACTGAATTATAGTGACAACTTGATCAGAAGCAAATAAAAGAAAGTGCATAAGCACGCTGTTATGTTTGTTTCATACAAAAGGCCAAGATGTCTAACCTTTGACATGATTTCTCGTTCCCTGCGCTCCAACTCGGTCTTAAGGGCAGCAGGGTCAAGGATAGCATCCTGGCTGCGGTACCCAACCTGTCCGAGCTCTCGCCGCAGCTTGCTCAAATCCAGCTGCAGCTGCTCGACCATTTCTCGATCAGTTTGTTTGTTCTGGGGACAAATTAAGATTGATCAGACTTCTTGGATTCAGAAGCTTTTTTCTATTGCAGGGCAAACTGATGTCAGAAGTCATAAAATTGTGTCACAAATCTTGTCCCTTTATTAAAGATGAAATCTAAGAAAGTGGTGGACACTTCAAGCAGAAAGACAAGACTCATTGTGATTGGTATTGTAAAAAGCCCTTTCATGACTTTATAACCTTGGTAATACCACTAAGCTCAAATCAACCCACCACAAGCAAGCCATTAAAAATTATAACAAAAACAAAATGGTGTTCACAGAATAGTAAAAGAAAATCCCCAAAACTCACACTAATAAAAAAAACCTTCAAAACGAAAATGTCATCAGTTTATTACTCATTTAGATTTTGTACCCACAAAATTTGATTGATTTATAAGAAAAGAAATATGTGGATTTTCCAAAGCACAAGGACACATAATAACTGGCAGAGTGGATCTTTTTGATATAACAACATAAAAACAATAATACAGAGGAGGAATAATTGTATTTTTCACTTATGAAAATCAAAAGACTTAGACTCACCTTGTTTTTCAATAAGTCTTCAATGCCCGAAAGCCATAACTCTAATATATTAATATGGCGACGTTTTTCTTCAAGTTCCTTTTCTAGTCTGTTGATCTGAAATTGTATACATAAAAGGAAAGTAGTATAAAGAAAAAAAAGTATCTTAAATTTCCTCATCAACCAAGAATAGTTACAGCTAATGAGGAAAGAAAAAAAACCAACTTTGTTCCCTCAGTCAACAGGACATTCACATAAATATGAGTTAACTTGACATAATGACGGAATGCAGTAGCAAGTACATATCCATGCAGTTAGTGTGTATCACGTTTTTTAAAACAAATAAAGACTTTGAAAGGGTTGATTTCAACAGAGAAAAATTCATTACTGATTACAAGCTGGACCTTTGTGGTGAAATATCTCAGTTCTCCAATCTATTCAAAGCTGTAATATTTATCTTTTATTTTTCTGAATTGCCCTTCTATCGAGCAGATGTGAATTAATTTTTTAAAACATGTGACAACTTCATAAGAAGTATTATTTCCATTGAGACGAAGTAGCAACCCGCCACCAAAATGTGCTGGCTCAAATCAGTGAAGATACAGAGCTATGCGTGAAGAAAAGTAAATATTTCAGAGGTAAGAAGAGTGGTGGAGAAAATAATTATGTGATCAGCAATTTATACAATTGGTTTGAGAGGGTGACAGTATTTCTGAGGAGTGACTAAGCAAGTGCTGTAAAGAAAATCCAACAGAACTGAAATCATATACTGAACAATATTTTTGCTCCACTAGTGGCTATTTCTAAGATATTTTAAAGTCAGAAATATACAATAGTTTCAGGAAACTTTTGTGCAGTTCTTAGATCACCAAAGTATGGTCTGACATTAAGAAGACTTAAAACACATTTTGTTCTGCTTTAAAAAAATGAATGCACTGACTGAATATACCACTCTTCCTCTTCAGCGTGAACATTCAAGACGTGTGATAAATATACATTCAGTATGTTTTTACATTGGCTCACATTACACTGAATACACTCCAACCAATATCCGGTTTAGTGCCTGTAATTCTTCTTCTAAGTCTATTTTATACTTTCCTATGCTAAATGTTCATAAAATACCAAAAACACATACACATCTGTATCCATTTATGTAAATGCATGCACATTTACACACAAACACACCCACATATATGGTTTATATATACATATACATATACATATACATATATATATATATATATATATATATATATATATATATATATATATATATATATATATATATGTATTATATATATATTATGGAAACCACAGTCTCCAAAACACAGCAGTACCCATACAACCGACTAGACAATGCTGGGAATCAATTCTTTCTAAATCTCTCATCCCCCAAGACCCATTCATTCACTCCACATGCACAATGTTAGCCCTTCTGATCCGCTGACCAACTAGATCCCCCAAACATTTAATACTTCACATAATATGTTCCTGACCAAATGAAAACCAGTCACACAATAAAAGCAACAAAACCATAACAATGAAAGGGGGGTTGGGGGGGAGGGGATGTGATGAGGATAAAAATGGCACAAATGAAGACAAGCAGACCAAAAGGTGGGTCATGTTAAAGGGAAATACTATTGAAATGGCTGTGTATAACTACAGAAAATATTGGGGTTCTCTGAACCATCTGACAAAATGAGGGCACAACTGTAGTGCAGAAGATATAATTCAGTACCAATACAAAATATGTATATGTATGAAATAGCGTCCAATGATTCATTTACTTTTTAAAAAATGCTAAAGTAGAGTACATTTAAACTAGGATATATCAAGTAATCAAAGGTAAAGATTTTTGTTTTATTCTTATTCCAAAATAAAAATATGAAAGAGGGATGAGAAATAAATAGGGACTTCAAATTCAATCCTAAGACCATCTATTCTACAAATCTGTATAACGAAATACGCGACTTTGAGTAACGAGTGTACTTTAGCCTTTATGCATGTCTAAAGAGATCAAGACAGACAGTCACATCGATTATTAGTCACAACAGATCATCACATTGATAGAAAGACAACATATTATTAGAATTAACAAAACATAGGGAGCAAAGTAAAGGTGTGAGGAAACAGAAAATGCAGAACAACATTCTGTCAGAAGCAATGGAGAGATAACAGTTTCCACAAAACATGAAAACACGTATCATATAGGTATGTAGCTATACTGATGCCACAACCATCGGTCAACAAAATTCCAGGACACACAAATAACTTTCCTGTATAATACATAACACCCAGAGGACTGAAGCATGCAGGGTGAACAATAATGATAGTCAACTAAAAGAAAAATATCCTTAATATAACTCAAAGTGAATGTTTATGTGCTTTTGTGTGATACTTTATGGTACAGATGGGCAGGCGTGTCTGTGGTTGGGGGGGGGGGCGTAGCATTCTACTCTCCTTACCTTCTCCTTTCTCCTGAAGGCAGGAGGCAACTATACAGTATACAACTTGTTAGTACAGTGCAAAGAATAGGGGCTAGTGTAGGACTATTTACACAGAAAACAAAATGGGTATATTTCTACAATCTGTAAATATGGATTCTGTATAAGAATATATAGCTGTAAATGTCAAAATTAATTTCCTATAGCTCATCTATTTCATATTATTCTTGCAAGTAGCAGTATTTTCAGTGGTGCTGAGATTAGAAAGCTAGCTTTGGAATGAGCACAAATAAACTGTCAGCTTAGCTGGTGTTAAGCAATGTAACATTTGTTGGCTGGCCCAGATAAGTAAACTGAGAGCCCCAATGTGTTGATGACTAGAGAAGCAGTAATGACGGACAACATACACAAAGCTAGGCCAGACAGTAGTAGCTCTCAAGCCATCCACAACCCCCACATGGCTATATGACACGTAAGGGAGGATTAAAAAATGAAGAAAAATACAGGTACCTCAGTGAAGTTTCTTCCTTAATTTTTTAGACTGCACACAAAACAAAAAATAGAACTTATCTCATGCTAATGATATGGGCTTAATTTAAACCCCCCAAAAAATCATTATAAGTACTGTTAGAAAAAAATAAATAAAAACCGATATATCCCACACACGGATGAGCTTTCAGCATGTATGATACAATAGCTGTGACATAAATGTCAGGAGTAAAAATGCATACACAAATGATAAAATAGTTTTTTGCTGTATTGAAAGAATACTCATCAGAAAGCGCAGTACATGTATTTACACAAAACAACTGAAACAAAGCTCTTTTTTGGGGTTAGTACTTTCACATTTAGTTGCTTCTTTTTCCTCCACCCTCTCTACACATCCACTGTAAATTCTGCACAACATCAGCAACATGGAGATCACTCACTGGCCGGCAGGACCCAAAGCAGCCACTGACTATCAAAGCTTTAAGAACCTCTAAACCACTACGTACAATTTGTTGCTGCGTTCGTTGTTGAGTAGTACCAAAACAGCAAGTAAGTAAAACGACATTTAGTGCACTAGGAAGCAGATCAGGACAATAGAAACACTCAAATAAAAGAAGTAGAAGGAGCAAACCACACTAGAGCGTCCACCAACCACCCACATTTCATCTATAAGTACTATCACCAATAGGAACACTTTATCTTATTGTTTTCACAAGATAAAAGTAAGTGAACCTACGACGGTAGGACTATGCACAATAGGAAATAAAAGAAGGAACCTGAAATATTCTCTCAGCCATACAAAGTAACAAAATCGTCATCTTCACACACAAAGACAAGTTTTAAGAAACTACTGAGTATAATAACTACTTCCCGTGACATTTGAGATATGAAATATCAAATCATTCAGTTAATTCAAGTTTTCTAGGTGGAAAAACAAAACTAACTTTGAATTTCAGTTTGTTTCTCAAATTTCAATATATTTCATATTCACAACTAAGACAGTCACCTGTCTCGGAACAACGTGACACTAGGGAGACAGGGAGGAGTTATATGGGAACACACACAAACAGCTAGTTACACTGCCACAAGACGGCAGCTCAGAGTCTGAGGAGCTGATGATGGGAACACGTCTACGCGCTAACAGCAGACAATGTGCAAGTGCTGGAACAAGGAGAAGAAAACTTACATCTTCCTTGAGATGTTTGTTGTCTTTCTCAAGGCCTTCAGCTTGCTTCAAAGTTTCAGATGACTGTGGAGAAAAACACAGGAGCAAATTAACAATATGAACTGTCATTGACCGTATCAAATTACGAATGCCTTTTTTATTAAATTATGGAAAAATTCATCACATTATAACAGTTATCTTGCACTGAGAAATTATAGAATCCAACAGAAACAGCAAAAGAAAAATACTCACATAGAGCCTACCAGTGCTACCATCTAATTACCACAAAACTCTCATACAAAAAAATATATGTGTAATTTACTATAAAGAACAGTTACAAAGCTTAAAAAGCCAAGCAGCCTATTTAGACCTCAATAACTGAAAACGAATTTTATAAAGGAGTACGAACTGCACAATATTATAATATATCAAACCAGGATTAAAAAGTTGGAAAGTGTTACGATAGAATCTAGTTGATGGAGTCAACGAAATCTTTTCATTATCACCAACTCATGGCAATGGGCATTTTGATTACAAATTAACAACTATCTTGCCAAATAATACCACGCTGAAATAACTCTTTCTTCTTCGTCTTACCTTTTTCTTCCAGTAAAAGACTTGGTCATCATCACTTCGACCACTTTTATCAGACTGAATATAACAAAAAGAAAAAAAAACAGCAAGTTTTAATACCTTATCATAAGTTGGAACACAAAGACATTATCTAATCTAACACTACTTCCCCTTTTTTCTTTCAAAAAAGTGAAAAACTAATACACTATAGTCTTTCCCCTTGAGCTATATCACAAAATAACACAGTTTTTAAACTATATTTTAAAAAATTAGTACAAAAGGCTTAAGTTTCATTCTGGCTCATCAGCTAGAGTGTGTAGAATGTGCAGGATCTAAATTATAGTCTTATTCATTTCAGGGTTTTGAGTTAACAGTACAATGATCATTATGATATCTCTTTATTTACTACATTTACATCAAACACAGTTTCAACACTATCATGCTTTTCAAAACAACCCACAGTGCAAAGACCATAGCCACTACCTTTAAAAGCATTACAAGCATCATTATAAGTGTTACAACTAAAGTAATGTTCACAACTTTAACGACTGAGATAAGAATAACAAGCACCATAGACATTATTTATACCCATCCCTTCATCTCATCACAACTGCCACAAAAATCATACCAACATAAAAGAACAGCAACTAGTTATTGTCATTGAAACCATTAAAATCTGTTTTAACAACTTCATTTATACAAATATTCTTTGTTGTAGTAAGCGTTATATGGAAGTTGTAACACAATAAGGTCATACAAGTGCCAAAGATTAGAGGTGTTGCAAGAGAGTAACAAACACAAAAAAAGAAGGAAAGAAAAGGACGATAGATGTTTGATGGGAATGAAGGAGCAAACCACACAAGAGCACCTGCCACTCACCCACAACAAATATTCCCATATTCACAGTTACCCACAACTACAAAAGTCAAAACAAGCAATAAAGACATGGAAGGAGATATGAGACACCTGCTTACCTGAAGTTGTTTCTCAATCATGGCAATACGTTCTCGAATACTCATTCCACTTGTGGAATTATCCAGGGAGTCCCTTCTATCCTGCTCGTTAGACACTCCGCCTATAGAATCATCGGACGAGTACCGGGGTGAGGTGGCATGCACCTCAATCCCCGGGGGGCCTGTGGAGGGGAGAGGCGGCGGTGCCTCGTCATCCTCCAGGCTGTCCACGCCCTCCTGGGCGGAGCTGGGCAGGTAGAAGGAGTCCTCTCCGAAACGTGTCAAGGGTGCTCGCTGTTTCTGCATTGTCTGCTGCTGAAGCAGATCTTCATCACTTCTCGCCGGAGAAGGTAGAGATTTGTCATTAGCGAAATGTTTTTTGTTCGCGGCCGCAGCGGGTCCGGAAAGTTCATAGGCCATTTGGCCATCACTGCTTTCACTGCCGCTGCTGATGCCATTGTTACTCGTTGCGTGGTAGTTCTTGGCGGCCTTTAGAACACGTCCTCGCCTCGGGGGCGGGACTGGGCCGTTAGATGAGTCCGTGTCATTCTGTGTAGTTCGGTGGTAGCTGCTGTGCTCCGATTCGGAGGGGAGGTGAAGGCCAATGGTGACCTCCTCCTCCTCCACACCAGACTTGCCACCACCGTGTCGGGGCTCGGCACTGTGGCCGGCCCACGTCGCCCCGGCCGTGGGTATAGCTCCTCCCCGCGAGCCACCCCCGGCCGTGGGTTTCCTGGCCTCGATAGCTCTCCAATGAGATTCCTCCCGGCTAGAGGCTTGTCCAGATTGGCCACTGCCGCTGCTGCCAATACTGTCATCATCTTGTGACATCTTGCGTGGCTGGGCAGACGTATTTGTGACAGGGGCGGACTGTGAGTGCAAGGAAACAAAAAAATCACAATTACAACTCAAATTACAACATTTCTATTATGTTATTTTTAGGAATATTTAACTAAAAATGCACTAGACAATTAAGACTTATGCATGCGAACAAGTCATTTGTTTAAGTTCATATTTGCATTTTAAATTTCATCTACAGTAAAGGGAGGGGGAGGAAGGAGCGAACCAATCATCTATGCTGGGGGAACTTCAATTTGAGACAATTTCTATACGCGTTTCTAACAAATTGATCTGAATATTTGCACAACACTTTTCTAAACATAAGTGTGAATTCCCCTTTAGCCAGTCATTGGAGCAACAACTATCTCAAATTCACAAACAAACTGCAGCACTCACCTGAACAACGAAGTCTTCCTTGTGAGCGAGGCCGAGGTTCTGGGCACCTCCCTGTTTGTGGGGGTCAGCCTTTCCATCTTGCATGCCGCGAACTGACTGAAGGACTCTCTCTGATGCCAGCCCATGGAGTGGACGGGCTGACAGGGAATCACCCTCCGGACCTGAGTCTGGGGACACAAAACAAAACAAAACTTTTCAAATCTACTGTTTTGTGGGGGGGGGGAAAACTTCATTCTCGTACTAACAACAAAAACTTCTTAGTGCGCGCACACACGCATGCAAGCACACACACAAACGCACGCATGCACACATGCACACAAGAATTCATTGAGACCTATGTTAGAATGAAGTCACTTCACCAAAAACCAGGATAACCTTTTATTGTTCAAGTCAATCAACTAACATTAAAAGTATCCTCCAAACAAATACCATCCACATGGTATTCAAACATTTTAACTAGCACCCCCAAATAGTAGGATAAAAAAAGTATTTCTTTGATCCAAACCTGAGTCACTAGTCAGAGTTCTGTTACTGCTTCCACAACTTTCCACATCAGTATCAGATTCAGAAGTCTGAAACTTGGTCGTATTTAACCAAAACATTACGGCAGCATCCAGTTTAATTTTGTAATCCTACAACAATCGCCCAAAAAAAGTGGCAGTCCAAAAAGGTAGAACTTCAACCTAGATACATCTGCATTTCACAGGCAGAAATACTTTCTAGTTCACAAAATACATAGAAAGGCACAATGATGAATGAAACTGAAACTTTCTGTACTCCACACAACTGTGAGAAACTGAGTCAGTTTAAATGTGTAAATGCACTGAATAAGCCTTCCAAAAGCTAGAAAATACCACGTAAGAACTGAACAACAAGATGGTTTTCAGAGGAATGTGCAGGTAGGAAATGATTAAACCTATAACATGACACACGTCAACACAATTATATATATACACTGAGGGATTTTTCCATCTTCATTTTCCCTTTCTCTCCATGCATTATTTGACTCATTGAAACAGCACATGTGCAAAAAGCTTGCTAATAGAGTGCAGAGTCTAGCACAGTGAAGTAGTAACAGCTGGTGCCTCGGTCACAGATGTACACAGCGTAGTAAACTGCCTACTGATTTCCATTGGGAGTTATGCTATTGATGTGTCAGACCAGCACAGAAAATATCAATAAATGAATTAGGGGAAATAAAATTGAACAGTCTATAGTTACAAATTTATCTTAAGTCTGTACATTTGTGAGCGTGTGTGTTTTTGCAAGTGTGTATGCCTAAACGTTGCTATTGCGCCTGTGCGTGCATTTGTGTGTGTGTGTGTGTGTGTGTGTTATGTGTGCGTGTGTGTGCGTGCGTGTGTGTGTGTGTGTGTGTGTGTGCACGTGTGTGTTTGTGTGTGTGTTTTTGTGTGTGTGAGAGTCTTTGTGTCTGTGTGTGTGTGCATGTTAGTCCATGTGTGCGAGAGCTTGTGTTATAGGTGGTGGAGTGTGTGTGTGTGTGTGTGTGTGTGTGTGTGTGTGTGTGTGTGAGTGTGTGTGTGAGTGTGTGTGTGTATGTGTTCGTGTGTGTTTGTGTGTGTGTGTGTGAGTGCGTGTGAGAGTGTGTGTATATGTACGTGTGTGTGTGTGTGTGTTTGTGTGTGTGTTTGTGTATGTGTGTATGTATATGTGTGTATATGAACATGCATGAAAGAAAAAGAGAGAGAGTGTATGATTAGTATTGATTAAAACAAGTATAAACATGATTGCTAAGATATATGATAAAATATAGCCAGGGCCATGTGGACTTGTAATAAATTACTCACGAATGAATGACAACAACAGCTGAGGCATGCTCAATGATTTTTCATTTCTGATAAGAGACAGAGATAGCAAAGAGCAAACACAAGATGTTTTACTCAAGGCAGTTGAAGCGCAGAATTAGACACATACAAAAATACTGTTTTCCACAAGTAAGGATTAATGACACATAGATATACAGAATTGGTCATTTAATATCATTTCTTCAAAGAAAGACATGAATACTAAAACTGAAAGTCCAGTTGAAGAACGGTTTCTTCTCAAACAGTTATGCCCATCAGAGGCAAGCATTTGGGATTATAAAACTGGTGGTATGGGGGGGGGGGGGGCGTCCCCCGGTTTTTAAGTGTGGAAAAAAAAAGGCTTTCATTGCCATTTGTGTGTAACACTCCCATGTTAAGAACGTTGCATTGGCTTCCCGTGTCAGCTAAAATGTCTTATAAAATTGCAATATTATGTCATAAATGTGTCAATAACAAAGCTCC